CTCAGGAGGGTTTGTGTAATGATTTTTTTTTTGTAATAACTAGAATATTCCATGTTGGGTGTTTTGATATTGATGAGAATCTTTTTGATACTGAAACTTCAATAAAAAGCTAAATGGATAAAATGTTAATCTTGTTTTATTTGAAACGCTGACAGATGGGTGGATGGATGTCCTCAGTGTCTCCATGTTTCCTGTGTTACAACTACTCATTGTAATACACTTAACATGCCTGAAAATGAACTTTATTAAGGAAGATCTGGCATCTGGGTCTGCACATCAACAATCCTTGAGCTCCATTTATCACCATATTTCAAAAAAAAAAATCGTATCGTTCACAAAGCGAAAGACTTAAAGTTGCAGTGAATTGATCCCATGTGTTATCGATATTTTCATTTTACAAAACCTATGAAACACTTTCACGACGTGTTCCTTTATTTACCATTGACCAATATTCCAGGTTACTTAAAGTGACCTGCTGCTGTAAATTCTGGCTCATGCACCAAAACATATCTTTGTGAGTTTTTAAAGATTTACGACTTTGCAGTATTGTATGTTCTAAAGTTGCTTTGGTTTCATTTGTTGCTTTGCGAGATGAAAAACAGCGACCATCACGTTTTGTCCCTTAAAAATACTGATGTGGTTCTTTGTTTCTACTTTTTATTTCTAATGAGAGATTTGAGTTATTTCTCAATAGAAGTGAATGGTATAGAAACAGTCCTGTTTTAAAGTGTATGTCATTTTATGTCACATTATCATGCTGTAGTTCATTCTGTGGGAAATATAATTAGAAATGTATTTTCAAAAACTTAATCTGGGGAATTTAATACTACCAATAATTCATCAGTAGTGCTCACTCATATTTCTCAACACAGATATTAAAGTGTTGATATCGCCAAGTATTTGACTTTTACCTCGTGTAGACATTTCGTCATATTCCTCCACACTTTCTAAATACTGCAGTTAAAGTTTCCTGCCTCGTGACGTGTTTAACCATTTTTTTCCAAGAATTCTCTTTTGTGTTAATACAGCAAAAAGGGTTGGGATTTTTTTTTTTTTTTTTACTCCATCCTGCGGTGTGCATTTCCATAAACACTGCACGCCTCACAAATCACTTCAAACCGCTGTGACTTGTGAAGGCAACCTTAAGTGGGCTGAACACTTAAACCATGATTCACTATGCAATAGATAGAACAGGGCTGTGTGAGGGAGGAAGCGTCTCAGTGCATTTACAGCCAATTGCATATAACTTTACATATTTATTAAATCATATCAGCTCCACTACTTCTCCCCACAGTTGCTTAGTTTCTTTTTTTTATTCTGTTTTCCTTTAGACATAATCAACCTCGGATTCACAGAGGAAGTGCACATGAAGGCCTGCTGTTCCCACTGCACCCAGGCTGCAGGTTTTTGAAAGTGAGGGCCCCGTTTTGTCCTCTCAGCTTGGAGCAGACCCAGTCAAATTGAGTCCCCGCATTAATTCGACCCTGCTAAGCTAATAAGGTCGAACAAGTCTCTTTGTATTGTCGCGTTAAGCTTTATTGCTTGTCGTTTTGACCAGCGATGGACAAGGTAGGCTTTGATGAGGGAATTAGGCCTCTATTCTGCCCCTGTTATTCATGGCATGGCGGAACATACAAGCACCAGAGAAGGGTGTCAAAAGGAGAGCTGGTCCCATTGCAAAGTGTCTCCCTTGTTGGAGCTGAATGGGCGGTTATGAGACGATAAACCGCTTAATACACTGAGCTAATTGGATGAGAGCAAGAGAGACGGGGAATTAAGGGGCGATCTGAGAGGGGGGAGCGGAGTGCCATGGCCCCCGCTATTCAGGTCCTGGTGAGGGAGGGAGGGGGGACTGAGGGAGGGAGGGGAGGTGTTCATCAAAGCAGCTTTTTAGAGCTCCTCTCCCGGGGACTGAGTGAGAACTGATCCCGACTGAGGCTGTGGAGTGATTGGGCCTATTCTCTCTGGCAGGGACGTGGTGGAGAGAAAGGAGGCCAGGTAGCAAATCAGTGGCCAAATCACATCCAGCAGCTGGGGGAAGGAGAAGGGATGTAAATCTGGGGGGTGAAAATGGGCACAAGTCAGTATAGGAGGATTTTTTAAAATATTCTGGACACCTGGATTAACTAGTGAGAAGCTGCTGTGTTGACGCTGTTCAACAAATCATGTAGATTTCTTCTTCTCTTTGGAACCATTTTGCAGGGACATGATTGGACTGTGTTGACCTTTATATCAACACTCATTATGATGGTCATTCATGGAGCCTATGTGCGCAAGTGCAGGCCCTGTCCTGAATGAAAGAGCATGCACCATCAAGTGTGACTGCAAATCCATGAGCCAACCCCTCCACCCCTCCTGCTACAGCATTTCAATTTTCTCGCCTTTTTGCGCCGCAAAAGAAAGTTTAAGCCCCGCTCCCAGCAGGTCATCCGCCTCCAGGCATTCCCTAGATATTAGGGACAAATTGGTTTGCCATTCATTAGTTATATTCACAATAAGATTAAAACTCCCTGGGCCCAGACAATCTCATCAAAACCCTATACAGAAGGATAGAAAAACCCTATACACAAAAAAACATACATGCACGCTCCACTGAGCTTGAGCTAAAGAATAGGGTTTTTTTAAAACATGGTGGTCTGTGCACACAGGAGAAAATTGGTTTTTATCTTTTCCCTATTTCTCCTCTAACCCCTCCTCGTTTCATTTTTGCATTATGCTCCAAAGAGCAGCTTGATGACTTTTTGAGTCTGAGTGTGTTTGCCCTGTGTGTGTCAGGATTAATTCATGTATCTCTCCATCTGTCCCCTCATCATTTCTGGAGTAAATGAAATGATTAGCAGGTATGAGACCTGTGGATCCTCGTATATAAGACAAAAAAGAGGGATCTAAGGGAATTAAGATGAGGAGAAGGCCGTTTTCACAGATGCAGACAATAAAAAAGGAGGGGACTAGTTTAATCCGTGGGGTAATTTCACGCAATTTGGCCGGGCACCATGGATGGGTCAAACGCAGGAGAATAACCATTGATTGCTGTAATGGTGCTGCATCAGTGGTGAGACCCAATGGAGAGAGAAAGGAGGAGGGTGGAGGGGGATGATGAGGGAATTAACTCTGTGAGTGTGTGTGAGAGAGAGAGAGAGAGAGTGTGTGTGTGCCGTCTGATGAAGTGGTTTGTTACTTCATTAATAACAAAAGGGGGACTCGCTTCCATCGACACTGCATTACAGATGTTAAGACCAATTTAGCGCCTTTAAAGGGTCTTAAAGGAAACTTTTGTGACGCCCTTCGCCTTACCCCCCCCCCCAGCCCTCACCCACAGATAAAGTGGGCGATCTAATTGAAAACCCCTCTTCCTTTGTCGTGCGTTTCTCATGTTGGGGGATTAAGCTCATGAATATATGGTCAGTATTTTGTCAACTCCGCTGAAGAGGATATAGACGCATGCAGTGCACTGGATTATGCAGCTGTAATGCATTTTCCCCATTGTTCAGGTGGAGGCAGCGACAAAATGATGCATGTAAGCTGCTCTGCAGGCGTCTCGAACATCTCAACCTGTTACTGAAGCTGGATGAACATATAGATACTTCACATTCCTGTAGTCAAGATTATTTATACTTTTGAAATAGTCCCTTTAATTAAGCTCTTTATATTTGGAAAACATAAA